CTGCTCTGCCTGAAACGCCGACCCCGAGCCGTGCAAACCAGCCAGCACCAGATTACAAAATCAGCGGAGGTCTAAAGTCCTGCCCCTAGGAGCGTTTCCCCACATCCAGCGCCGAAGCAGCTCGTCATCCAAACGCCTATTTCCTCTGACGACTTTAACTCCTTCTCCGCTCTTCACCTTCCCCTTTGCTATTATAATGTTGCCGCTCTGCTTCTTCGCGCTCCCTTGAGACGCGGTTGCCGCAAAAGAGGCTGCACAGAATACAATCCAGCTGCTCCGTCTGACCCGCTGTCGCTCCGAGGAGCAGCCAAGACAGGCACTTGTCCTCTGCGAAAACTTGCCTCTTGATACGGTAGTCTCGAATGCGTTGCTTTCGGGACGCCCCAGCAGTTTCGGCGCCTGGGCGAGCGGTGGACGTCACACCTGCAGCGGCCGGAGGAGCTGATCCTGTAAATCTCAGCGCGCGCCGAGACGGGGAGAGATCCCATCCCGGAGCGCCGCTTCGTTCCCCAGGCAGGGCAAGCAGCAGGGAGATAAGACGCCTCTGCCCTGTGGTTCAGTGCCATTTTCGGCATGCTGCACAGCACCGGACTGCACTGTTTGTACAGCGAGGGAGTCCGGGGCTGTATCAAGCTGCCGCCCGTCGCTGCGCTCGTTTGGAGAGCCCTTCACGTCCGCGAGGCAAGAAAAGCAATGCAAGGGGACAGCTTTTCTTATTAAACCGCGGCCACTGAGCTGAGAGAGCCCCACTGCCCGCATCTTCTCATCACCGTAGATGAAGGGCTGCTAATGGAAGCGTCTGGCCAACAGCACAAGCTTCAGGCGCATCCAGAGGGAGACAGTAATGAGCAGACTCACTGCTGCGCTGACCCGCATCGAAACCTGCGGAATTACATTAGCCATCGATTTGTTTGCGTGCTTTGTATCACGGATTGGTAGCAAAATCGCACGCCCTCATCCTAGAAAGGAGGCACCGGCCTAACAGTTTTCTGTGGAAAGATAAATGCTGAGCAGCTCCTCCGCTGGTTTCTGCAAGGCAATTCCCAGATTTGCCCGGATTAGCACATTGCTTTACTGATTAGACACACACGTTGAACCGTCCCCTTCTGCGCACCGTCCTTCGACCCCAAGGCTTGGCCAAAGGAGCGGAGGGGTCAGCAGGTGGGAACTTGCTTGTGTAACCAAAATTTCTCTAGCGCCTGCTTTATCGCAGCAAGTAGTAGCTGCTAGCCAGACATCTCACGGCTTTTTTGAAGGGGGTTAAACAGACGCCCTGGTCGGACGAGCGACGCCAAGTCGCGCTCGCGTGGCTGACCCTCCGTTACGCCGCCTTGGATACTCCGTGTCTCCTCACCGCTTGCCCCGGATTGGAGGCGTAAGTTTTTGGCACAAGCGAACGAAGCAGCCTGGGACTCGCTACGGGCTGCACTCGGGAGACGTGCGTGGTGCAAGGGGGACCCTGGCCCGCGCTCGGCCCGCGGCCGGACACGCTGGGCGCC